CGCCCCCTTATGTCGCCGCGTGTGCATCACAATATAGTATTTTCCCTTACTTGCAACACACGCATAAGCCCCCTTATCTCACCGCATGCGCATCAATATACACGCCACCCTTATGTCGCTACATGCGCATCTCAATCACAACACAACAATAACCATCTCCCGCACCACACGTACACATGTGCCGTAACATCACCACAAAAGCAATACCAATGTCACAACAAGATATAGCCCACGGCTCAACAACAATGTGTACACGAATCATAACAATACTATAAGGGTGTGTGGAGTGAACAACAAAGTAAAAGCATGTTCATATAACAAACAACTCTAAATTAAGTCATATTAATAGCCTACGATCTAACCCGATCATAACTAACACATACGCCCATGTACACACTCGTCATCTTATGTACACGTCATTTCACATAGCACAAATATTGCAAATTAGACCAAATCCTAAGGGAAATTTTTCCCACACGAAATTAGACAAGATGCTTAGCTCGAATAAGCTAAATCAATACTCTAAGGCGGCTCGAATATAGCCAAAACAACTTAGTAATATTAATAAAAGCCATAAGAAACAAGCCCAAACGATAAAAGCTACGATCTTGGTTCAATTATGCAAAGTTAATCCAAAAGCCAACCCCGGACTCGCACCCTGAATCGGACAAAACTCACAAATTTCGAACACTCATTCTAATACGAATCCAAATATATGTGTTTCATCCAAATCCGACCTCAAATCGTCAATTTATGTTTTAGAAAAGTTTTAAATAAAATCCCCAATTTCTTCAATTTGATTCATCAAACAGTTGCTAAATTTGAGGTTTCAATCATGAAATATAAATAAATTCGAGTAAAAAATACTTACCTCAATCCAAATCGTGAAAATCCCCCCCAAAATTGTCCAATCCGAGCTCTATAACTCAAAATATGACAAAATAACCAAAACCATCGAAATAGAGTACTTAAATATTCTGCCCAAGCATATGCATCACGAATGCGGGACCCTCATCGCGTTTGCGAAGACCAAAAAATATCCGTCCAGAAAAGGCCTTTACTTTCGCGTTTGCCCTATCACGAACGCGATGAATAAAACACCTCAGCCTTCGCGAACGCAGCCTGGACCTCGCGAACGCGTAGGCCAAACTCCTCCTAGCTGCTTCGCGAACGCGGAGCCCCACCGCGAACGAGGAGAAGGGCGACTGCCCATCCCCCTCTAACCTTCCGCGAACGCGACCTCCATGCCGCGATAGTGAAGAAGGAAACTAGACCTGAGAAAATCAGCAGTCCAAAACAAGGTGAAATGGTCTGAAACCCATCCGAAACACACCCGAGGCCCCGAGACCCTGTCCAATCACGCTAACAAATCTCAAAACATAACACAAACCTACTGGAGGCCTCAAATCATACCAAACAACATCAAAACTACGAATCGAACCTCAATTTCAAGCTATGAACTAATAATCTTTCACATTCCAAAACTTATGCCGAACTATACTAAATCAACTCGGAATGACCTCAAAATTTTTATGCAAGTCCCAAATGACACAACGGACCAATACCAACACCCGAAATCATAATCCGAACCTGATATCAACAAAGTCAACCCTTGGTCAAACCTATCAATCTTCCAAACCTTTAACTTTCCAACTTTCATAATTTCAAGCCAAAACAGCCTAAGAAACTTCTAATCCAAATCCGGACATACGCCTAAGTCCAAAACACCTATCAAAACACTATTTTGGAGGCGTCTACACAAAACTCCGGTCGACTCTTACAACTTAAACCTCCAACCAAGGGACTAAGTGTCCCAAATCAATCCACTTTCATCCCCCCCGAATAAGTAAGACCCCGCTCATTCTAATTAAAAAAAAAGAGGGGCGAAGCGCCCATTTGAAGTGGCGAAACTCTCCCGCAACTAAACCAATCAACCCCGCAAGTCATGTGAACACAAACACACATGTGTTAAGCACCTATAGGGGAAAACAGGACTAAAATACTCAAAACGACCGGCCGGGTCATGACAGTACTTAATCAAAGTTAGTCTTGATACTTACTGGGTACACGATATCCCGTACTGATACTATACTTTTGCATATTTTTGTGCAGATCTGGGCGTTAGCAGCTACGGATCTCAGGAGTGAGCATTATTTGCTGATAGAGATGATTCAAGGTAGTGTTGCATGATCGCTGCAGACCCTTGGAGTCCCCTTCCTTATCTTCACATTGTTATTTGTACGTTCAGACAATATTGTACTGTTGAGATATCTTCTTATATTTAGATTTATAGCTCATGACTCTGTACCACCTGGTTTTAATTTTTTTTGATATTATTTTATCTCTGTATTAGCTATTGTGAAAACTATATTCTTCATTTATGTTATTTAAGATATATTATATCTTATTTTGTTATTTTGAATCTTTATTGCATGTTGGTTTACCTAATCTTGGAGGTTAGGAGCCATCACAATATTTAGTGGAATTTTGGGTCGTGACATCATTATGCTTGCCATCATTTTCATTGATGCCGCAAGCATTCTCGCTAGAGTCACACACTGAATCATTTTTAAAATTTGTATTATAGCACGAGTAAAAAATTTGCATCTCATATGAAAAAGCCAGTATGTTGAACCCACAAGATAGACCAAAATATACTACAAAAGTATGTTGCAGCTACCTTCTGTCTCTTTGTTTTCATCTAGCGCATCTTGATTTGTATTAACATCACCATCACTATCACTCTCTTTTTTAACATCTCTATTATGATGGTGCTATATCAAATTTTAAAAAAAGACTTATCAACTTTAGAACTAGCAAAAAAAGAAAAATAATACGAAATTATATAATGGTATATCTATGAATTTTCTCCTTAATTAAATCAATGGCATTGAACACCTCCAAAAATATATCGGCGAGATACTTCTTTAAAGCCCCTTAATTCATCCTTATGTTCATTCTTCAAACTTTATTCTTCAATTCCTCTTGGCCATCTGACAACTTCTTAAACTGAATAACCCAATAATTATCCACTGGCGAGGCATTTGCAGTTTTAGATTTTATTTTTGAGATGGAGGATCGACAAAGACATTCTCTGAACTACAACGTTTGTTATGAATTTATCTACCACCTCCTTCTCCAAGTCATTTGCAGCTTTGCGTTACCTCTTCGATGTCTGGGATGGAGGATCATAAAAGTTATTATTTGGACAAGAATATTTGTGATGAAACTTGTCTACCATTTCTTTTTACGAGTCATTTGCAGCTTTGCCCTATCTTCTCGATGTCTCGAGCGGATGATCAATAAAGTCATTATTTGTCACCTCATTCTTCAAGTCATTTGCAGCTTTCTCCTGCCATTTGCCCCGCCTTTTTGATATCTTAGGTGGATGATCAACAAAGTCATCATTTGTACTAATACTTTTCTGATAAACATTATATGCCACCTTATTCTCCAAGAGAGACATATTTCTTAAATTCTACTACATAAAAAATATTCAAAAAGTTAGTAAAAAGGGAGTATTTGATGATGGCATATTATTTTACAGAGGCAATACTCTACATATATTAGATATGCATTTATACCAAGTGACTTAGTATACCAAAATACAAATGAGTATATACATGATGCATCGCTATAAATTGAAGTACATGGAAAACAACAAAGTAAATTACCTAGTTAGGAGGAAAATATACACTTTCTCATGTAATTTCTTATACTTTAGCTATGTCATGATCTTCCATCTAAGAATTCGTGGAAAGATATTCCCTCAACAAATAGTGATGCTATTATGCAATAGTTGAAACTTTCATAAAATCATACCTGAAGAACCATAGAAAACCCAGAAATTCGATAATACATAGCCTATCTATCCAAAATGGCAGGCATTCCAAGATAGCATGGTATAGATTTCTCTCCTATGGATAATTGTTAATCACCCTCCTCAACCAAGTCAAAATAACCTCTATCAAGTTGTTTTGTATTCTTAATAGAGAAGAGGAATGAGTTTATCACATAGAGCACTACTACCTTCACAATATCTTCATCAACTCAAATATTTTATTTAGAAAATAATGTGTAAGTCATTTCTTAGCAAGAGAATCCACAAAATATTTTTCAATCAAACTATTATTCTTTCCCTTAGTGTAGGCACTTTACATCACCAATACATTTAATCTGGTCACACAAGCAAACTCAGTCAAACCAAGATGTAGCTTAACTGCATTGATTTTATGAAACTTTCATAATATCATACCTGAAGAACCATAGAATACCCAGAAATCCGATAATCCAGAGCCTATCTATCCAAAATGGCTGGCATTCCAAGATAGCATGGTATACATTTCTCCCCTATGGATAATTGTTAATCACCCTCCTCAACCAAGTCAAAATAACCTCTATCAAGTTGTTTTGTATTCTTAATAGAGAAGAGGAATGAGTTTATTACATAGAGCACTGTCACCTTCACAACATCTTCGTCAACTCAAATATTTTATTTAGAAAATAATGTGTAAGTCATTTCTTAGCAAGAGAATCCACAAAATATTTTTCAATCAAACTATTATTCTTTCCCTTAGTGTAGGCACTTTACATCACCAATACATTTAATCCGTTCACACAAGTAAACTCAGACAAACCAAGATGTAGCTTAACTGCATTGACAAGAAACTGCATTTCTGCCTCAATTTCTTTTTGAACCTCCATTGTTAATAAATAGTATATTAATTGAGACTCAATTATATTGTAGGCAAATCTAATAAATACCCAACACAAGTTGACTTAAAAAGCTCAACTTGTGTTGCTGATGAATTTCTTTTCAATTCACTAACAATGTTAAAATTGGAATGAATACCAAGTTTTGACTTACCTTTTGTATTACGTTGCATTTAAAAAGCAACATATAAGAGTATCACATGATATCCATTAGAATAATTTATCAGTATATGACTATCTTCTATTTTCCAATAAGCTAAGCATGCATGTCTATTAGAGGAACTAGCTCTTAAAAAGTAAATACTAACAAAAAGAAGCAGAGGCTTTAGATACAAAAAATATACAGTTCACGTGCCTCATTTCTGTGAAAAATACGCGCTTGCTACGTAGTTAAATAGTGTGTCATAGATACATTTTTTAAAGGTTGAGTGTGTAAAACTATTCTCGTAATCAACAGGTGTGTAACAAGGATTTGAAGACAAGGTCAGGTGGTATTTTATGTATTTCGCCTATAATGTTACAAGCATTGGCTAAGGGTTAGAAAAATACTACCATATGGTATGTAATATTTATAATGGACTGTACATGGGAGCAAGAGGCTGAAATATCTATCACCTAGGATGAATGGAAGGAACAACTCCACTGACAAGGTCACTACCGGACACATCAGCTGAAACATAAGGATATTTCATAGCTGAGGTTGAGGATGGAGTGCTGCTATCCTTTTCACTATCAGTGACCAGGGAATCTCTAATTATAGAGTCAGATTCGGGCATCATAAGCCGTATGTTTTCCAGTTCTCGAACCACTTCTGCCATTGATGGCCGAGCTTCTGTCTCTTCTTGGCAGCATTTGAGGGCCAGATTAATGAACTTTTCCACACATTCCGAAGGATAAGATCCCATCCGATCATCAATAACACTGAATATCATACCAGAACGATGTGCAAGGTTGACCTGTTGATATGCAGTACAATATATCCATGAGATCATACAACAGGAATTAAATTATATGAAATGTAGTATGTTTTTTTGAATTAGTTATTTTCAGGAAGAGGCAACCATAGCCCGTTGAAGGTGGAATCTGCACGAATAACCTTGAGATTATTCCTCAAATCCGCTATGTTTTAACACTTCCAAGACAATGTCTCCTGGTTTACTTCGGAGAATATTGAAATGTCTAGATGATGAACGAATTTAGACAGAATATATATGTTAGCCTAATCGTGGACAGGCAAGCAGTAAGACAGTACCTCCCGAACAATGTTCTTGCCATGTGAAATTGGCTGCATTCCAGTGAGCAGCTCAAGGAATACAACACCAAGGCTGTAAACATCACTCTTGTCTGTCAACTTATGAGTTAGGAAATACTCTGGGTCAAGGTATCCCTGCAGAGAACAGGCCTTAGAGTTACAAATTTGTCAGTTGGAGGAACTTTGTTTGAGTTAATTTTGTGCATACGGTAATTGGACAACCATCTGCTTACTTTCCTCTTACAGAATTCTAAGTATATCGGAATGTAGGATGACAAAAATAAACATCATATTAGGGGATGATTTTGCTAAAAATATCTACTTTCTTGAACAATCAAAGCTCACCGGAGTGCCCTTAACAACTGTTGATACATGAGCAGGCAGAGTCCCTTCAAGATCTGGAACTGGAGCGAGCCGTGAAAGTCCAAAGTCAGCCACCTTGGCGATAAATTTAGAGTCTAGCAATATATTGCTTGCCTTGATATCTCGATGGAATATGGGAGGATCAGCCTCTGTGTGCAAGTAGAGTATGCCCTTAGCTGAACCCAGGGCAACTCTCAATCGCATAGCGAAACTTAGAGGTTCTTTACATTTACCTGTCACATCACAAGTTAACCCATTAAATCCAAGTTGATATGGTGAAAAACTTGATATCTGCTAGTGCTTTCCCTCAAAGCAATCTCCTAAGACTAAACAATTGTAAGTTTGATTTACTACTATCTTCATTGGAAGGGATTTTGGTGGGGTTGTTGGGGCAAGGTTAGCTGTTGTCGATCAGTTTATCATTTGCATACTTACATGTTTCTTTGCTTATCAAAATGAAGTTCCAAAAGGAAAAGATTTGCACAAATAAATGGAGGCAATAACAATGTGAATTGTATAGTTATTTACCAGATATGTGATCTCTCAGAGTACCATTAGGCATAAATTCGTATACCAGCATCTGCAGGTAAAGCACAACATTGCCAAAAGGTTACATACGAGTATATAGAAAGAAGAAAAAAAAAAGAAAAAGACCTATAATCGGCCAGAGGCAAAATAGTATTAGCCATCATAACATAAAAATAGTCCAACAATTATTTGCTAGCTCAAAATCATCTCTTAAATCTGTATCCGTTTGTAAATATTTATGTGTGCATGTGCTTGTAGGAGTCATTTTGAGGTGTAAGAAATATCATCTATTGCCTTTTCCCTTCCAGTGTAAAAATGAATTTTTTGGTTTTAATAAATTCAGCATACTGCTCCATTTGATATTTGTTCATGATGGTAAGATATGTTAAACTTTAGATCAACGATTGAAGTAATAAAGTACCTGTTCACCTTCTTCACCACAGTATCCAAGCAAAGAGACAAGGTTTCTGTGATGTAGCCTAGATAGTAGTTCAATTTCTGTAAGAAACTCCTTTTGGCCCTGTAACGATCCCTCTAGAGCTCGTTTAATGGCTACAACTGTCCCACCAGTTAAAGTACCTTTATAAACTTTTCCATACCCTCCTTGTCCAACAAGGCTGGAGTTGTTAAAATTTTTGGTCGCCACTGTCAATTCTTCAAAATTGAACTCCTTAACACCATCAATTTTGACAGAGATTTTTGACACTGCAAAACAAAATCGTGGGCTTATAACTTTAAAACGTTTGAGACAGTTTACCATAATCTCCACCTTCATGGAATCAGAGTTGAGATTGGGATTTACACAATTTGCAGGCCTAAAAGCAATGTGTACTTTTCAACTGTGTACTAATGTTATGCAAGATAAGTACACTAACAAGAGTTGATTATGCTGTCAATCGGTAAGCTCGTGAACTAGGCTAACTTTCTAGATGAAAGAGAAGATCTTACAGCCCCTTTGGATGGGCTTATTTTAAGTGTTTTTAAGCCAAAATAGCTTTTAAGCCATTTTGTAGTGTTTGGATAAAGTAAAAAAGTGTTTTTAAACACTTGTTTTAAAGCTAAAATGACAAAACAAGCCAAAAGCCAAAAGCTAGAATTCCTAACTTATGGCTTAAAAGCTATTTTGGTTTAAAAGTCGCTTAAAATAAGCCTGTCCAAACGGGCTCTTAGTCTTCAAGGATATTTACAAATGAAAACCATAGCTTGATCTAACATCTCTTATTTCTTTGCAGAGATGACATGCTCATTATAATACTTTTTGGAATTTCAGTATATTTTCAACTGGAGACTGTATCTTCATCGCTCTATATAAGCAAACCTAATTTAACATCACTGTATCTTCATCATTCTATATAGCATCTATAATTCAATGTCTCTTTCCGTTTCATGATTAGTCTATCTTGGTAAAAAAATGTAATCCAAGTGGTAAAGACGTATGAGAATGTATTGTCTTCAGTGACTTAAAATGCTAGTCACTGAAAGCACCACAACATAACAGGTCCTAGATTAAAATGAAAAGAGAGAGGATACATAAAAGGTCCTAAATTAAAATGAAAAGAGAAAGGATGACTTAGAATACCAACTTCAAGATCAGTAACTGTAGTATACTCACATAGGTTCCTTTTTGAACCGGCACGGTGGTGCTTCTTCATATGCAATCTCAATATGACGAGTGATACAAATGCCGATATTGTGACTGCACCAGCAATTACCCCTAATATGATTCCTGCAAGAGCTCCCTTGCTAATACTAGATGATGAAGGAGGGGGGATGACTGCAAAAGAACAGTAAAAAGTACATATCACAAGGACACAAATAGCTAGACTTTGCCATTAAATGCTATGATAAATATGATATCATGTCTATTGTTGCCTTCCATAATTGCATTAAGGATTGGTAAGCCACCCAAAGTATGGCCCAACAATTAAGTCATCAGCAAAGGAATATCATGCACAAGCAAAGGAGAAGTACAAGAAGAAGCAAGAGATAGACCAAAATATTCACTCATCAAAATAAGTTAATCACGTTGACAAGTTATATATATCACGATCTTTTACTTACAAAGGCAAGAGAACAGATTCAGTCATGCTAAAGATTTCTTAAAAGTTCACAAGTGGACGTCAGTTAAGAGTAAATCATAGAGAACAGAAATAAGAGATATATCTAGAGAAAGTAAAGCAATCAAGATGTGGAGGGTTTAATTTTCCTCTTCACTGACTACTTCTTGGACAACTATGATTTATTAAGGATGGAGGCATACATACATTCTCTATAATCTGCAAGTAGGGTGAAATTGAGAAGTTCATAAGGTCCAAAAAAATCATTATCAGGAATCAGCCACCCAGTGAACATGCTCCGGAGTCTTAGGACCTCACTTTTATTGAACAAATGAGAGCTGCTGTTATCAACAAAGATGGGGAAAATCCTCAAGTACATCCTCACACGGGGACCAGCTTCCAGTGCAAATGTATTAAGGCGTAATTGAGATTGATTCAGCTTAAGACCAGACGTGATATACCACTCAAACCTATGCATGTATGGTCGAAAATCATGAAACCCAGGACTCTTCAGCCTGTATCCTACAAGCAGAGGTAGAGCACAAAAGCAAGTAGGAAATGGCAGGGCATATTCATAGGGAGGAGGACACGCCAAAGGAGGACAATCAGTGTTGTTTGCCAATTGCAAGGTACCATCGGCATCCCCATTGTAAGGTCCGCAAAAGTCGACTAGGGCAGAATTTGAACACAACGGATTTCCTTGAAGACTAGAAGAACAATAAGATGACAAGGTAAGATGTTGCATTTGTATCTTTAAACGAAGAGGAATTACTGAAGATGAAGATGATATGCCAAAAACAAACCTAACAGTGACATTTTGTGGGACAACCAAAGTTCCTGAGATATTCAAAAGCTTATTGCTCCGCAAATCCCTGCAGTAATGCAGCAGATCCATTTTAACTAGACTCGTACTGATCACAAACTATGGAGTTATTAAAGACTAGACATATAGGAAAAATTAAGAATTAGGATAGCAAAAAGGAACATGCTGTTACAGGAACAAATCTTTGGTTTCATGATCAATTTAGAAGCAAGTGAATCTCTCCGAATATCAATTCTTACAAGATAAGTGTCTCTGTTGCATTGAATGTCCTATTTTGCCAAATTATTGATGGAACAGAACCGCTTAATGAATTGTTTGCTAGTGACCTGACAACAGAATAAAATAACAAAGTAATTATATTGGACGGATATTTGTAGTGAGCTATTTTCCCTGAATGGTAATTGAATAACGAAATAATTTAATAAAAAGCCTGCTTCTAGAGCAACAAACATGATAAAAAGCAGAGGACATAATGCTCACACTTTCTGCAAATGGGGAAGACCTGAAAAGTTTGAAGGAATAGTTCCGTTGAGGTTGTTGTATGACAGATCACTGCCACAATCAGAAGAAATTGCTTCAGGAAATGAGAGATCAACAGTATCATGGACCCGACAATATCATTTAAAAGGAAGCAGTTGCTAGATAATAACGCATGATAAAGCTTACAGCAAAAATGAATCAAGCTCTTACATTGTTGTAATATTGTCACTAAGCTTTTCTGATGGAATGGGCCCACTTAACTGGTTAAAGCTGAGATCTCTGAAATGCGAAATTAATTAATTAGAATATGCATGGTTGCAAATGCAAGTAATAACCAAAAAGGGTAATTAACATTGGATATTGGTCTTAAGTGATGCCTCTCTTAGCCTAAAGCAAATGATCTGTGTTCCCTCGAGTGAATCCTGATTATTAACATTTGATTTCTCCATTAAAAACGCGTTGCAATGTAAAAGAGTGTACGAATGCCCTTATAGTTTGCATTAGGGGTGGGAAACGGGCAGGTTGGGTCGGATATGGGCGGGTCGAAAATGGGTAATTCGAAATGGATAAATTATCCAACTCGACCCATATTTAATACGGATAAAAAACGGGTTAACTGGCGGATAATATGAATATCCATATTTTCCATGGCTTCTTGAATATGGTCACTTTTGGGACAATTCATAGTCTCCTAAACTTGAGGAACCCCCAATTTGAGGCTTTACAAATGTAAAAGTTAAACCCATTAGTTATCCATTGGTTATCCATTTTCTAAGCGGATAATATGGTTCTTATCCAAATTTGACCCGTTTTTAAAAAGTTCATTATCCAACCCATTTTTTAGTGGATAATATGGGTGAATAACTGTTTTCTTTTCACCATTTTGCCACCACTAGTTTGCAAAGACATAGAACTTGGAATATATTCTTACATGTAAGTAAGGTTCGGTATGTTGCCCAGATTTGGAAGTGGTCCCTGTAAGCTACAGTTCCTTAGACTCCTGGAAGAATGAAAAAGCGGAATCACTTCAAGTTAATATAAGATCTCACGAAATAGTACTAATATCCATGCAATGTTTTTGCTACTTTCTTGAAACAAATGAGGTTTTCACTACTTTGAGAAAAATGAAGCATGAAAGAGTAAAATACTTGCTTAAAATCAGAAAGATGCAAAAATATAAGCTACTAAAACTGTCAACACATTCAGTGGTTCCAGAATCTCTAACTTAACAGTTCTTACCTTGATATATTTAAGCTTTACAGAAAACAGGTGAATAAATTATCTCTTATACTATTTGTTTCCTGTTACTTGTTACTACTATTTGAGGTTAGGAGGAACTAATCTTTTCTTCCACCTCTTTCATAGTTTTTTCATCCAGTTTCTTCAGCCTTTTTCTTTTTTCTTTTGATTGGTAACTTCAACGTTATTCCACTGGTTGCTTCAGATACTGGCTAGCTATTCCTTTGCTGCCGAATAGTAACAAGGTGAACCACCATTGGTGCAAACTTCATCAGGAAATCCTAATCAACTTTGGACCATTGTTCTAATGACACAATTAACTAGAAATTACAGGCTATATACTGCAATACTTCTATATTTTAAGATAATGTGCTTTATCATTCACTTTTGCTAGCAATTCTATAATACGTTAAATACGAGGTTTTACCACCAAAGAACTATTCTACAATCTACAAGTATATACCTGGATGCAACCAATGGAGTCTCAAAACCCATAGTAGATAAAAAGAAACATGAAAATAGATGTTGATTGGAAATAGTTTAAATAGTCTTTCTTATTCGCAGGAAGATTATGAAAGAGCTGGTGACACAAAACCTTTTGAAGTTATGGTTCATGCACCCACTGGACATAATGATCAGTTCTATCATCATGCCATACTTAAAATCATATTCAGCACAAAGAGGAGCTTTAAATGGACTTACAGTTTCAACAAACGTGACATATTCCCATATGAACCAGGTATCTGACTTCCTTCAAAGTTGTTATTATCAAGCTGACTGCATTATAAGAGTAAAATTAAATATAAGTACGTTCATGCTTGCAGAATAAAAGGAAGTTAGAGCCAAAAGTAAAATTTGAGACAGTAAAAGAAACTTGTCAGAAAGAATAGACGAGAACAGATATGTGCATAGACATCTCCTACAAAAGATTAGTCCCATTTTATAAGCTGGATCCTTTTCATGTCAAATCTCCATTAGAAAAATATGGTCCCTGTTTATATCTATATCAGAATTAACATGCATAAGTAACATGACATTTCATATCATATATTGATCTTATAGGTGATAACTATGCCCAGAAATTGATTCAACATCATACTCTTTCATTCATTATGCGCTCTAGTCTTTTATACCCGAAAGAAACAATTCTCAACTGTTTCCATGATAAATAACAAGAACTTTTTCATCTTTTGCAAGTACCATAAAGTATTTTGATAGGCTGAAGGGACACTCTTCACAGCAATGATAGGTCGTGATAGTGGCAACTCTCATGATTATTATTTCTATCGACTTTACCAAGCATTGCTTTACCAAAGATCGAAAAGATACATCTAAGATATCCTGTATTTATACTTCAAACATGCTTTAGAATAAAATTTCGATCTCTATGTGTCAAGACTAGTCTTATTTGATGAGCGTGACAGCTTTTAATCAATAGCTACTTCAACAAACAGAGCCTGAAATAAGGATCTCTAGGTTTTTGAAAATTTCTAATTGTTGCAACTGCCTTCTCCCCTTTCTATATCTGCAACGGAATTTCAATTTATGTCACCTTTCCACAATCTCATGTAAGGAAAACCTCTTCCAAAATCAAGAGAAAAGTACCGCCGCACTAAAGTTATATCACCAATGAAAAGGCGTCCTGATATCAGTAATCCAAATAGCACTATATACATAGCAAAGAAAGATGGCATACAGTATGTGCAAATTTGGAATTTGAGCAAGCTCTGGCGGAAGGTAACCCGATAAGTTGTTATTATCAAGCAGCCTGGAAAATGAAGCAAAAAGGCAATAAGTCCTTTATAATACAAAACACACTTCTAAATAATATTCATCAAATTGAAAAGATAAAAAACACGAGAATTGCAAGGTAAGGTTGCGTAGAATAGACCCAATGTGGTCAGGCCCTTCTCGGGACCCCGCGCATAGGATGTGCTTACTGCACCGAGCTACCATTTTATTAAATAGATCAAAACTACATACACCTAACAAGTCATCTTTATCTATCTTAAAAAGAGTCACTTTTACATACAATGTTACTGTGCAATAATTGATATTAATGAGGCCTTTGTATCATGATAATCAAGGTATTTTCAAATGAACATTTTCTGGCTTATCTTTTTGGTCTCAATCTCATGTTGTATTTATCAAATGAATTTTGATTCAGTAAGAGTGGACGGGAGTTTTTTAATTCCTCAAATTGAAAGAGAGGGCGAGTTGCTTGCAAATAGTAAGAAGAGATAGATATAATCATCATTTAGTCCCCTCCTTTTCCTTGAACCAAACAAAGAGTAAGCCATGAGAGATAAAGGGATCCTATCAAAGAGTATCATTTATAAAAGCAAAATTTCTTGTAAGCCCCGAGAGACATCTTAATTTACACCACTTGAAGGACTTTTCAGGCATTAAAAACGTTAAAGAATCATAATGTCACTTACAAGTGAAGTAGCTTTGGAAGTTTAGATAGCTCAGGTGGAATTTGTCCACTTATCGAATTGTTATTCATGTGGCTGGACAGGAAAACAAAATCACATTATGGAAAGATATAAATCAGTAAATAAGAAAACGACAAATCTGATGACAGCGATGCAAGTGGGGCTATAAGGAAGTTAGTAATCATTCATCTCAAGAAAACTCTTACAAATGTTCTGTTTTCTTCAAATTTGCAAATGATACAGGTAAGGGCCCTGATATATGATTTTGATCAATTTGTATCCTGTTCAAGTTGGGAAGATAACCAAGCTCTTCAGGCAAAGAACCTGTCAATTGATTTCCATTGAGAAGCCTGAAACCATAAAAGAAAAACGAACAAATAAATAAATAAATAAGAACCAGAGAAAATTATTAGGTAGCAACATGTAATATTATTCTTAATCAATATACGTGGGAATTGTCCCAATATCCATAGAAATTTGCTCATTCCTGTTGAAGACATAATTAAGTATATAGAATTGTGCTCTCTCTAACAGCTTAAGCTTTCAGATGATATGGTCACACACTTCAACATGGTATAGAGCAGGCAGAGGTCCAGGGTTTTGGGTCTCACCGCCACTCAATATCAAAAACAATTCCACGTGCTTGGCTCATTAAAAAAAAAAAAAAAAAAATTAAGCCCGCACGTGAAGGGGCGTGTTGAAGACATAATTAAGTAAATAGAAGTGTGCTCTCTCTAACCGCTAAGCTTTTAGATGAGATGGTCACACACTTCAACTATTCCCTCATGTAGAACTTCTAAGAAAGAGTCAACTATATAAAGGAAGTCATAATTTTAGGAAAAAGCAGGGAATAGTAAGAAAGAGCTTTAACTTACAACAATTCAAGTGTTTTGATATTTCCTATCTCATTTGGGATTGTCCCAGTAATTGCATTCCACATTACATCCCTTTTAGGACAAAGGGAAACAAAAAGTTAGCAGATAAATAAAGGACAGAAAGATAAACTACTATGTAAAGAAGCCATTACTGAAAACATTTTGCAAAGCAGAAACCTTCCAAAAGAGAAAAGCATTTGTTAAATATCCAAACTTACAATATTTTCATGTAAGATAAGCGACCAAGCTCCGATGACAATTTTCCTGACAGATTCATATCCATTAATTGCCTGTTAAGAGGAGAAATTCAAGAACTTATGACATTGCATATTATTGAAACAGAGTCTACTGAGATGTCATCAATCTCCAGAATGATCGTCCATCCCTTGTTTCAAGCAATATTAAAATGTTTACAAACATCATGACAACCAATGCATTTAAGGTAAAGAATCAAAACTTAAGACACTAAAATTTATGTGAGACAATCATCTTTCTATGCAGAAAAGGTTTGTAAAATCACAAAGTATTCAAAGTGTGTGCTCCTTATAGACAACTAGGATCCTGTAAGGCAAGAGGGCTTCTCAATTTTAATCTTACCACTTCAGAGCTTCCTAGTCCAACTATTGAAAATTAGCTAGTACACGCAGTCGTCATTTGTCATTTTTATCAATTCATTTAGGATTGTAGAACTAGCAGGTGAATATTTGTGTGAGAGCAAAACCAGCTGCATGTCAGATGGTCTCTCTGTTGACAATAATCTATTTGTTATATTACCCCTCAGCAGAACTTTGATGTAATGATCTATTAATGCAATCATGCAAACCCCAGTGACCTTGTTGATTTGAATTATGAATGCTAGACAATAGGTGCTTGATGACTTTGGACGTCCATAGTACACCAAGTAGATTAAAAAGACAATTGGGAGGATATGCAGGCTCTCTGGTTTAGATTCTTGAAAATGTGTGATATGAGATAGTGGGATGCTCAATAGGTTTTCAATAGCCATAATTTCAACTTTCAGCTGTGTGAATAAGAGTCTGAAGCAATTTCCAAAGTCTCTTCTTGGGACCCAAGTGTGAATTTGAGACATTACATGATGGCTTCGCTTTCTTTCAATCATTACTATCATTTTTCTGAAACAATTTCAGATCTCCAGTTCAGTTCAGATGCTTTGTCTTTACTTATATTTGTAGAATACAAAATAGAACTAAAAAAGTGTGCCACCTATTTGTTGAGACAAACTGGAATAGACTTATTAAGCAAGATTTACAGTGACGATATTGATCCAATAGGTCATGAATATTTGGATTAAGTCCAGTGACAATTCTCCACTCATATCCTCCAGAACTAGGTGTCGCTTTCTAACTCTCTATGAGAAGCTCCACACCTGCTTTAATTAAAGCTCACTCCTCCTTTCTCTAATTTGCCTCCTTTGCATTGTTCTAATTGAGTCTATGGCAAAGTGGTTTATATGCTTACGTCACCTACTTTACCAAAGGGAGTGAACTTCTTTCACTGTGAGCTAGCAGCTAGCTACCAGAGAAACAGGGAGATTAAACTTACATCCCCCAATCCAATAACAGATTTGGAAGCAAGTAATAAAAGCACAACGGCATAAATTCAGAAGAATAAACAACGTGATATACATATTGAGAACCAACTCAGAGAAACCATAATTATTCTGCAGCAATCCATAGATTTAGTACTGTGTTGGAAAAGTTAAGCATGTTGACAACATCAATACTCATGATGCAGTGGCAAGAGGTAGTCTCAAGTATGATAGGAAGGTCTTACAGTTCTCGAACATGAAGGTAACCGTCACTGTTTGTTTCATTGTAGCACAAAATTCCAGTCCAATTTGACCTACATGGATCTCCTCTCCTCCAGTTACTGAGATTCCCATTTGGATCAACCAAACTTTTCTTGATGGCACGTAATGCTTTTACTGCATACACAAATTCAAGAGTTACCACGCTTCTCATGTCAAAAGTAAGAAGAACTACAGCATTATAGAAACATCTTCACTTGGACATCTCAGCACTTCCCAGTTGCTTGGGGTAACAGGCATGCAGGGGTGCAAATTCTGATAGCCGTTTTATAGTTCAGTTATATTTCTCTTCACACCATTGAAGCTGTTCAGAAACCCCGTGTCCTCACCCCACCATCAGATATATAACAGAAAGACAAAAGAAAGATTCCTCCCCAAGAAAATATTGAAAACAAAAAAATTCAGTACATCAACAATTTATTCCTTATAGCTGCTCTAACAAGTTACTAGACCTTGGACAATCTATACAATAACAACAACAACTATGCCTCAATCCTAAACAAGTTAGGATCGGCTTATATGAATCCTCACCGACCATGTTACTTCATTAAAATCATCTCATGCAAATATTATCCAAATATAAATAAAAAGTCCACTACAGTTAGTTTTGCACAACAGCCAAAGATGTTAATTAGTTTCTTACATCATCAAATAATGTTAATCAAACTATTAATAAATCTCAGAGTTTACAAATTATGTAATATAAGAGAACCTTAAATGGGCAGTCAAGTAAGGATGTAGAAATAAAGATGATCAAAAAGGAAAAGATTAAAAAGGTTACCTTCATCTGGATGAGTAACTTGGCTATCTGCCCCTGTAAACAGCAAAGACCAGCAAACCCATAGAATCAAACTGATCCCAATAAGGGAAATCTTAGAACCAGACATCCCAAATATCCCAAGATTGTCAAACAGCTCTCACATCCAGAAATTAAAAGGCTATAATTTCAGCCCCTTTTCCCCTGTTATAGTAAAAAAAGCAAAACAAAAATAGAACCCTATCTACTGAGCAATCACCAAAAGTAAGCCCAAAAAAAAAAAGAGACAAAACCTTTGAACTGCATTAATACTTACAGCGATTGTGTTGTAAGTAGAGAAATAACGAGGAAAATGGGTGTTGGTAAAGACAAGGAACCGAAAAAGAAAGACATTGGCAAAACGCTGACTTGGTCGCCAATGGAGGTGCTGTAGCTGGTAGATAAAAGAAGCATGCTGATGAGAGCAGCAGCCAACCCCCATTAATCAATACTATTAATTTCTTTACTGCTGTTTTTAAAATATTGAAAGCCTACTTTTGCTTCAACAAATTCAGTGTTCTGCTGGTATGTTGACTTTTGAAGGGAGTGGGGTTGAGGGGTAGGTGTTGTGCAGCAATCATATGTATGCCAACAAAACAAGAGAGAGATTGCCTTCTCGTACTACTGTGGAAATAATATTTATAAAATTTATTTTATTTGTAAAATAAGTATAGATAAATTTTTATGATAATTTGATAAAATAATAACTTCAACACGCTATCATATTTTATCATTCACTGATAATATAAAATATACTTTTACAGTATTATTAATATATATATATATATATATATATATATATATATATATATATATATATATATATATATATA